CACTGGGGATCGAGAAGACAGAGCAGACACACACACGCGCACGCACACACACACACACACACACACACACACACACACACACACACACACACACACACACACACACACACACACACACACACACACACACACACACACTATGGTTACATTGTGATTTCTTAGTAAATATTCTATTTGGTGAGAGATAAACTTTATTGTATTTTAGTCTTTTTAAAATCAGTTTATGTGTACTCTTACCCCCTGTAGACAGCTTTCTGCTGAAATAACCCCTACTGCACACCGAAAGCATCAGTGGTGAGGAAAAACACTGATTCAAACAGAATCCATTATAGTCTATGGAGTGTAACACACCAGCCACGACGCAGCAATTTTCAGATGAATCCCACAAGCGGCACGCTGTGCCGATAAAAACAGGATCAGATTCTATTTTTGCAGAGAGCCACATTTTGGAATGCGTCAATTACCGCAGTTAACATAGGGCTAGACAGAGAATCACACACGGTTTCAGTGTAAAAATCCCTGGTAATTTTCAAAATAAAGGTATTGCAGTGATGAAATCTCATATATGTAAAGCTTATGTGTGACCTAATGGCTTATTTGCTCACAGTAACGTTCCAGAAGTGTAACGGTGTGTTTTCATGGCTTTAATCCTGGCAATGGAGAGGGAGAACAACATTTATGACATCAAACAGCGATAACAACGTGGTTTCCTTCTTTTTGGTTTAATGGCATAGCGCATAAATAAACTGTAACCTTTGAAGTTTCAAAGGATCGTGTGGTCTCGCGAGGAGGTTGGTGGAAGTCTTGAGGGATTTTGTGATCTCGCAAGTTAAGCGAGGAGCACGACAGAGAAGCCGCTTCGCTGCTAAGACTCTCTGTGTGCACTTGATTGCAGTGACCTCCTGGCTACCCAAGCCATAGTAATCCTCACTCGATCGGGTCGAGTGGCTTTTAGCCAATCATATTATGCTTCTTTGATCCCGTGACACCGGTGAGGTGTCGACACAGTTGAGTGACAATTGCTTTGGCTTGGGTCACCAGGCAGTCACCTCATTAGTTGTTGATTTTCGGATGCAGAATTTTTGCTGATGGAATTTTTATGTTGAAATTCTGGTTTAGAATTTTTGAAGATGAAATGCTGCAGCTGAATTGTTACGGATGAAATTTTTGCAGGCAGATTTTAGGTTAACAAAATTTAAATACGTAATTTCACAGAATAAAAATTCAACTTCACAAATTTAATGTCTAATTTTCTGGTGAGAAAATTTCTTCGTCCTCTGGCACCCAGAGAGTACAGACGCTTCTCTTATTTCTCTCTTATCGTTTTTCCCAAGGCTCTTGTCCTGTTTGCCTACAGAGCGCTTCTCCGCATTCCTCCTGAAAACTCTATTTTAATTGAATCATGGATTTGGTCAACTGGTCATTCAACGCGATTGACAAGATTTTTTCAACAATGAGAATGCAGCAGGGGGCTCCGGTGAGGTATATATTAGATATATGCTTTTGATTGGTATTTTTATCTTCTGTTTTAGTTCCTTAGATTGGTCGTGTTTTGTTTTAGCCTGTTCAGCACTTTGGGCAGCTCCCATGCTGCGTTTTAAACGTACTATGTAAATGTTATGGTATGGTATGGTATATCTGGAGGAGTGGAATATTATATGCTTTCCCCAGCTGGAGGACATCGAAGACGTATGGATTTTCAGGGATTTCTTCTGTTTGGAGTGGGAGGATTTCTGGTATTTTGAAACATTGGGAAGTCGGGGGCGATTGGAGTGCAACCCATACCCATGGAAAGCTTCAGCCGTGTGGAAACTGCTCAGACTGGGATGCTACTCGAAGTGAATCGTAAGCTAGAGGTTCTAGCTGCGATCCCGGTGTTAGTGCGTGAGATGGATGTGATCTTGTAGAAAGTCACCGCACGGTATGGGCAAGGTTAATCCAAAAAATTGGATTTACTGAGAGACTGAATGATCAGTGAAAAACTGAAAGGCAGAGAGAAAGTTATTCCTGCCTGACCCAAACAATTCTTCTTATCTGAGGCCTAGTCCACACGTAGCTGGGTTTTTTTAAAAACGAATATCCGCCCTTCCAAAAACTTGCATCCACACCACCTCGTTTTAAAAAAAAAACTCTGTCCACACGTACCCGGATAAATACGTTGTTAAGGACATGCCAGACCTGTAGGCGGCAGTACTTCCCCCATTCTTAACCTCGTCCTTCGTCTGTGGTCTTCTGTAAGGAGCAGTAATTCTGCTTGCAAAAACAAACAAGCAAAAAGCTCTTGGACAATTGATAAAGCGAGCGCAGCTCTGAGGGCATCCAAGCTGTCGGCTAGTGTAAACACAGGTCGCACACGTGATGTCAGCATTTTTTTTTGTCGCGGAAAGTGCCGTTGCGGAACTTAAAACTCCGATTTTGTCTGTCCACACACAGACACCCAAAATGGAGAAAACGCAGATCTTCACTTTGGCCGGAGTTTAAAAAAGATCCGTTTTCGTGTGAAAAAACTCCATTTTCGTGTGGATGACAGGCCAAAACGTAGAAAAATATCTACGTTTTGGCAGATCCCCGGCTACGTGTGGACAGGGCCTGAATCTGGCACCCTGGTAACATTGAGCTGCCAGAAGAATTCAGACAGATGCTGTGAAACCCCGACATACCCCCTGGCTTCCAACTGGTGGCCTTAGCCTGGCGAGATCTACTACTAAAAGAGTCAATGTAGTCTTCACTCCTTCAATCTCTCTCCCACCTGTGTTTCAGCAGCAATCAGTCGCATGCCGTAGGCTGCTGCTCTCTCTGGGGGAAAACAGGGTGCCAGCCCCCTTGGTCAGGCTGTACTGCGGAGACACATTTCTATGCTTCAGGACGCTGGGGAATTAACAATAAAGCTGATTCAGATTGTTCCAAGTTGAAGCACATTTGTCATTTTTATGAAACAAACAGTGTTGGGAAGGTTCGTTTTGTATATATATATATATATATATATATATATATATATATATATATACTCAATAACATAAGGAAAAACCATTCAAAAAAACAGTTTGAATGGTTTTCAACAAAAAGTGAATTATTAATCAACCAGAGGGAAGAACTAGGCTGAGATAGGAAACAAGGATTTACCTCAAATTGCAATATTCAGTGTGCAAAATATTTAATTATCTTTAAATTAAGGAACTTTTCTAACTTGTTTGCCCAAAGAAAAAGAAAAAATGTAGAGCTTGGGTTATAAAGAGAAACAATCAGCCCCAAATTATTTAGTAAAAAACAAAGTAAATAAATGTTTTAATTCAACTTTGAGGTTCAATATAGCAGCTTCTTGTAAATACAATAATAGCTGTGTTGGGAACGTGTTTATTTTACAAGCTAAACTTGAAAGGGTGCATCTAAAATCGATGTTATGTACAGTTGAACATTTTCCGAGGTAGAAGGAACGCACCATGACATCCGTCCTCCACACTGCATAGGCAGAGAAGAGTAGACGCAGCGCTGACCAAAATATGAACAAGTTCAGTTCACAATAAATAAATAAATAATAAACAGAACAAGTTCATGAATGGTCTTAACCCTCCCACTGTCCTAATGGGTGACCCCGTGAGGAAAGCTGACCATTGAGCAGGATTGATGGTTTATCCCTTGAGGTCCACATTGGCAGGGGTGAGGAGTGAGCACCACCTCACCCCTGCACACATCAAAATTTGTGGTTATTCACAAACATGAATATCACGAGCAGTGGAATTTCTTCTAAATTTCTGTCAAAATAACCATAAAATACGAAAGTGTAAAAGATTTTAAAGTAACGTTTGCATTCCCTGGGGTGAAATTTAGGAGATTTTAATGTGGCAGCAATACAATTAGGTCTTGACTGTGATCAGGCTAGCTCATGAGTCCATCAGAGCTAATCTCTGTTTCTCCAAACTGTGTTTCTTCATAGATTCATTTTTTATGTTCGAGTCAAATAAAATATTGTTTCCCTGTCAGCACTAGATACGTTATAATGTTAAGCATTATGTTAACAAAAGGCTTATTTTGAGGGCTCACCAGGTCAAGAGCCACTGCACACACTTTTCATGCCTTATTTAAATGAACCGTTTCCATTAACGATGTAACTTTATTAAAGCATATTTAAGAGTCTGATTCAAACATAGAATACAATCTGTAGAGTGACATAAATGAGTCAGTTTGCAAAAATCTGTTAAAATGCTTAGTTTATTAAGGGTAAAATGGCCTTGGTAACATATTTTAAAAGAGGTAATTACAAGAAAAGACATTAATTCATGAGTATGTTTATGATCTTTAGCGCTTGCTCTCCTCTTTTCTGCTGTGGGCTCAAGTTGCAACCTGTTAAATCATAGACTAGTCCTTTTATTATTATTGCTGTCACCCGGCCCACTCTTTCTCTCAAGGGATGGGAAACATTTTGCTGTGTATTGCAGCGGCCACAGCAGGAAAGAACAAGTATTAGTAGAACACCTTAGTAAACTTTTGCCTGGAGAAAGACCTCTTACTCAGGGAAAACCAGAAGATTAAAGCCAACATAAAAGTCTCAGACAGACTCAAACAAGACAAACTCTCACATTGCTTCAAGTCCTTTTACCGTTGAGTGCCACAGTTCAATATTATGTGTGTGTACATGTGTGTTTGTTTTAGTGAGTATTTACATGACACATGGACATCCAACCCAGGGGTCACCGGAGATATTTGTCTTTCCCTCCCTGCACTGCCACTTTAATGGCTCCAAGCAGACCACAGAGCCATGTAATCAGAGCGGTCTGCTCTGTGCTTCTGCAAAACGTGTCTACTACTTAGGGTCTGATGTGTAATATCATCATTAATTACATATCATTTGAGATCTTTTACACACTTCCTACTGTGGGAGTTTGGTCATATTGTCAAATGAGTCAAGCAACACCAGACGACGTGTGTTTGATCTCGGTTTCTGAGCAGAAAAATGTGCCTGAATGTTAAAGCAGTTCTAACGTAGGTTTGTTTTTTGACAGCTCAGGTCGGGGAACTTGTCTGGACAACGAACCTATGAAGCGAGACTTCCTGTACCCAACAATGGCCCCAGGGCAGTCGTACGATGCTGACGAGCAGTGTCGCTTCCAGTACGGAACCTCTTCACGCCAGTGCAAGTATGGGGTAAGAAACCAGCATCCATCACCTACTTAAGGACATGTCTCTTCTTCTCTCATCCTGAGGTGCTCTGCAAGTTTGAAAGGGTAGTAAGCAAAATTCAATTACTGCATCATTTTGTGCTGCCATGTGGGTCTTTACTGCCTCTATCAACACTCCAAATGGGACTAAAAATGATCAGGAATCACGTGCTTGTGTGAAAATATCCCTTGCTGTGATGTCACAATAAGGGAAATTAGCATAGAACACCCCCTCCCCATTGACACTTAGAGGGGCTCTGTCTTTGCATGTAGAGAAGCTATGCCTCTACTAGCTCCTCCAGGATACCTGAGCTTTTCTTGTCATAGCAGCCAATCAAGGGATGGATGGGCGTGGCCAGCAGCAGCTTGTTTTCTAAAAGTGACAGAGCCCTGAAACGGCTCATTCAGGAAGGTATTGAAATTGTGAAGAACAGAGTTGCTGAAGATGCCACATAGAACTGCGTTTATCTTCAAGCATCAGAAAAAAGGTAAAGAATAAAACAGCAATAAGTTGCAGGGAGCTGGTGCCTAACTCCAGTAGTCAGGACGAGAGACGTGGAACACCCTTCACAGGTCTCCAGTCCATCACAGGGACACACGTAGACACACTTAGGGACAATAGTCTGCCATTAACCCTACATACATGCTTTTGATCAGTGGGAGGACACCAGACCACCTGCACCATGTAGCTACAGGGTTTGGGGTTGTGAGAAGCTGCTGTCTAGCTCCAGCAATGAGCCAAAACTGACCCGAGTAAGCCCAATGTCTCGGGTCAGTTTGGGTCAACTAATTAAGTTAAATGGGTGAGCCAAGTTGGGCTTGGGCTCTGGAGGGGTGTGGGCAGCAGCTCCGGTGCGCCTGTTTCAAGATCTAGAAGTGAGCCTGATCAGAGTTGAGCTTCAGATGGCAGGCTTTGGAGTCTTCTTTCCCGATGTTAGTAAGTAACTTTTATTTGTATAGAACTTTTCACAGATAAAAATCACAAAGTGCTTCACAATAAAACAGAATAAAAGACAAGAAAATAAACAAACATGCCTGTTTTAAAAGTGTTTCAAACACACAAAAGGAATGAACACAGGGAGGAGAAAGAGGAAGAGCGTTCCACAGCCAGAGCCGGATTAATGCAAAGGCAAAGTAGGCATATGCCTAGGGCCTGATTGGCTGGATGGGGCCCAGATAAGAGGGACAAAATTTAAAATAAATAAATTAAAATAAAATGTACAAATGTCCAATGATAGAATTTGTGGATAGGACTCCCATCTAATATACAACACATGACTTATTTTGGCATACAAACAACCAATTTGTAATCAAAGACTTCTATGTAAAATGTGAATGAATTTTTATTAGTAACTTTGGTAAGTTTGAGATTTCATTTCATAAAATAACATTGATGGAGGGGGGGCCCAAAAAATGCAGCCTGCCTAGTGTTGTCCATTTATTTAATCCGGCTCTGTCCACAGCCTCGAAGTCATATAGTCTTAAAGGAGCGATCTCCACTGGACTTTAGGCAGGTTTTTGGGACCACCAGGAACCTCTGTCCTTCCAATCTCAGGCAACATTTGGGACTGTAGAAGTCAAAAACAAAAATTATTTCTATCTTTTACATACTGCACCTAGCCTAAAATCTAGACCATAATTTGCTGAAGCAAAATAATTTTTTATTTGCATGTCTGTCTAGCAAAGCTCCATTGGAACCTCCTCAAGCCCAGCCAGTATTGTGGCTGACCAATCAGAGTGTTTATTTAGAAAAACAATGGGTGTTTCCCAATGTCAAGATGCCTGGCCTTGCGAGGTGATGTCTTGTGAGGCCAGGCGCCTTGCTTACGAGGACACTGTCCTTCCTTGGTCAAAGAAAACGGTTAAATGGAACAGACTTGCATCACATGACCGCGGCTTCCACGGCGGTCATGTAACGTCACGTGACACGGGAGATAACGTTATATTTTATACGTATTAGCTTCAGTATAAATATATAACAAGACTTTTACTTTTAAAAGTAAATATATAAGTGAGTTACTACCCGCTAGCCACCAAAGCTGTAACTACTAAGCAACTAACCAACCATAGATAACTTCTTTACATCTAAAAAAAACATTTTAAATTAAATGACTTACTTTTAAACTTGAAATTTGCCCCCGAAGTAGCTGCCGGCTCCTGATCCTCCATCCTTTTGAAAATACCGCGCTGTATTCGGAGTCATTTTTCACCAAGGCTAGGCTACAAGACACCTCTTGTGTATTCTTGCTCAGCTAGCTAAACAGCTAACAAACGGAGAACGTACGCCTTGGTAGAACATGAACATTGAAACACGTCTGGGCAGTTCCTGATGACGTATCTCCTAGGAAACCGGGGCGGGGCCAAGACATCAAGGTGTGGTTCCTTGGCATTGAGAAACACCCCGTGTATTTTTTTATGTAGTTCTTCCATGATGTAATGGCGGACTGCCCTGTTTACTGACATCTTTAGCGGTCAAATCAAGCACTCTATTGGTTTGGTGAGCCAACCACAGTGCTATATCAGCCAGGTGGGCGGGATGTTACTGCAGTTGAGCAAAACTAAGATGGCCATGGCTCCGTAGCGGTCCAATCATAGCTTTCTGTTGGTGTGGTGGGCCAATCACAGCACTCGGTGGGTGGGATGTCACTAAAAAATAAAGATTATTTACAGAAAGGATGAGCATCTTCTTTGAAAAAGTATGGCGGACTGCCTCGTTGACATCTTTAGCGATAGGTATGTTACGATGTTTGTTATCCAATAGCATGTGGAGACAGTTTGGAAGACGACCGTAGATCCCACCCCTTGACTGAGAGCCATTAAAAGATCGTGGCCAGACTAAATATTCACACATATAGAATATCTTACCAAGCTATACGGCACCATCATCTGATGCTAATTAACACACTCCACAAAAATTCCTAAGAATTATGAAAATAAAATCTTTATGACAACACCTGGTTACTTTAGGTGGAGAAAGACAGAGAACAACCAGACTCTATCAAAAGACTCCTCAAAGCTTTGATAACTGATGTGTGATATTACTTTGCATCACATAAATATTTGGACACGTTTTGGAAAAGAGAGGACAGAGATTAACTGAGATCACAGAGTTATTTAATTTCATTGAAAGGAATATCTGACAGGAGATTATGACAGGCTTCAAATCAAGCCCTGTTATTTTGGCTCCTAAGCTCATAATTGTGGTTTTAGATCAGCATGAAAGACGTACAGTTATGAGTGAATGGGAGTCTGGTGCAACAAAGAAAGATTGGAGTTTTTCATCTGGTAATCGGATATATTTTATACAGCTCTGTGAGGAGACAAGCAGAAAAACTCCAGAGAGGAATGTGAGGTTTAATATAAACAGAGTTTGGTTCATAAGAAACAAAAGAGCAGAAATGAAATAAAGCTTTCATGTGTTTGGATGGAGATCTCCTTATTGCTTTGTGTTGCATTACACAAGTACCCAAAAGAACAAAGAAAAAAGGCTTAGCTGCTACGTGAAATAGTTGAAGTTGAGTAGACATTTAGATTTTTACATTGTCACCTTGTTGGAATATTTCACTGGTGGAAGATGAAGCTTAAATACATTTATTTAGACCGGGCTGTAAGATAACAAAATCATCTGTTTTCTAGGCAAAAGGAAAATGTTTAATTGTGGCTGAAAATCTGCACTGAGGTTGTTAATCTCTAAAGCACGACTGAGTATGCCTTGTACCGGTCATCGAGGAGGTCCTGCCTCAAGTGGAGGAGTTGAAGTATCTCTGGGTCTTGTTCACAAATAAAAGAAAGAAAGATGGAGCGGGAGATTGATAGGCGGATCAGTTGCTGCGTCTGCAGTGACGCCAGTGTCGTACCGTTCTGTCGTACTGAAAGAGCTGAGCCAGAAGGTGAGGGATTTGATTTACCGGTTGATCTACGTTCCTACCCTCACCTGTGGTCTTTGGGTAGCGGCTGAAAGAACGAGATTGTGGATACAAGCGGCTGAAATGAGTTTTCTCTGCAGGGTGTCTGGGCTCTCCCTTAGAAATGGGGTGAGAAGCTCGGTCACCCGGGAGGGGCTCAGAGTAGATCTGCTGCTCCTCCATATTGAGAGGAACCAGTTGAGGTGGCTCAGATATCTGGTTAGGATGCTTCCTGGACGCCTCCCTGGTGAGGATATCCAGGCACGTCCAACCAGGAGAAGACCCATGGTAAGACCCAGGACACGCTGGAGAGAAACTATATTTCTTGTCTGGCCTGAGAACGCCTTGGGACTCTCCTGGAGGAGCTGGCCCAAGTGGCTGGGGAGAAGCAAGCCTGGGACTCCTTTCTTAGGCTGCTGGCTCTGCGACCCGACCCCGGATAAGTGGAGGACAATGAATAGATGGATGGATTTAGTATGACATACTGCTTTTAGGGACTGATCACACTAATTACAGCTACGTTAGAACTACAAAAAAAAAGTAATTTATGCCACAAGTTTCCTAACATTTAATGTTCTGACTCACAGAATAACTGTAACAGAGGCCTGTAAACCCAACTAGTGCTGGTTAAAGTCACATATGGGCAGTGATGGAAGTTACTATTAATAACGACTATGAGTGTAGAAATATATCACATTTTTCATTGATGGAGTTTATTAGCACATTACTTCAAAAAAGTACAGCTCTTTATTTGTCATCACAGTTTCAGTAACAGAGTTGTGATCACTTGTTTGGACTCGCATTTAGGCACAAATGAAAGATTTACGATATAGTTTGTCTTCAGATCTCACGTAACCTGGTGGCTGTTCGTGCACGTTGTTTGTGCTTTTTACTTGATTTTCTTTATATTGTATAATTTCCTTCAGTGGAGTGGAACTGCAGTTGTCTAAGCAGTGACAACAAAGGCTTCTGCTCGAAATATTCAATCCTTTTGTGGCTTTAACACCTACAGGTTGCAGTGATTTTAATTCTTAATTAGAAAAAAGGTATTTTGTGCAATAAAAGAAATTATTTTACATATATTTAAATAATAGGCAGATTGGTGCTGCATCTGCAGTGATGCGGGCGTTGTACCGGTCTGTCGTGGTAAAGAGAGAGCTGAGTCAGAAGGCGAAGCTCTCGATTTACCGGTCAATCTACGTTCCTACCCTCACCTATGGTCATGAGCTTTGGGTAGTGACCGAAAGAACGAGATCGAGGAAACAAGCGGCCGAAATGAGTTTTCTCCGAAGATTGGCTGGGCTGTCCCTTAGGGATAGGGTGAGAAGCTCGGTCACCCGGGAGGGGCTCGGAGTAGATCCGCTGCTTCTCCACATCGAGAGGAGCCAGTTGAGGTGGCTCGGGCATCTGGTCAGGATGCCTCCTGGACGCCTCCCTGGTGAGGTTTTCTGACGACGTTCAACTGGCAGGAGACCTAAAGGTAGACCCAGGACATGCTGGAAGGACTACGTCTCTCACCTGGCCAGGGAACGCCTTGGGATTCCCCCAGAGGAGCTGGCCCAAGTGGCTGGGGAGAGGGAAGTCTGGGCCTCTCGACTTAGGCTATTGCCCCGCGACCCGATAAGTGGAAGAAAATGGATGGATGCAGTTTTGCATCATTTAATGCTTTTTTTTTTCCACAAACATAGCTTTGGTGTATTATTGGTCTTCATAGAAATGTTTTTCATGTATCAAAATGAATAAATGAACTTGGAGTAATTCACTGTTAGTTTGATGATGAAGATGATGATTCAGTCACTTTGAAGCTCAGATTTACCTGCTTGGTGTGTGACAGGACTAGTTCCAGTCAGAGAGAGCAGAATAACCCACCGTCAGTGAGAAGGTAAAGAAAGTCGTGAAGGACGAACAGGCAATAAATCACTTTGTATTTCAGGGTCATTGCCAAACAAGGTTTGGAACCACTGATGTAGACCCACACATTAGTAATATTTCACTGATAATGGCCTGAAGAGCCTTCAGAGCTAAATTCAAACACTCTGATGACTGAGTCCCGGGGGTGTCTCAGATTTAAATCACAGCTTGAGAGTTGGGAAAAGTGTTCGAAAAGAGGAAGTTTGGGTCTTCTACAGTTGTACTTTAGTTACATAGAGATACATATGCCTGGGTTACCCTGAGAGCTACAAACACAGACAGGCATGTAAGCGCTTTCCAAAGCAGAGCAGCAGTGGAAGCTGGAGTTTTGAAAAGCAAACTGTTTGATGGTTGTATTAGTGAGGCCCTTCCTGAGTGCTTTTTATCACAAGCTTGTTCTCGGCCATCCATAAACCCATCACGTTCGTTAAGGTCCGCGCCGCTGACCTTTTAACGTGGCTTGAGAGGGTGAACGGAGCAGCACGGTGGCTTATTGGAACCAGCTGGCTAAGGGGAGTCCCTGCAACCTGAGAGTGGCAGTGTGCTGCTTTACTTAATCTGGAACGGCTCAGGGAGCTGCAAGGCTGTGGAGCATTCACCGGGGGGTGGGGGTGGGGGTGTAACTCTTTTTCATGAGCCTGCTCTTCTGCCGTTACACTACTGTCCTGTAAAAGTCTTTGAAGTTGAGAGACGAGGCAGTCCAGCTTGGTTTAATGGGAAATCCAATGCTAGGTTTTGCTGGGTTGTTCTAACTTCGATGATCCGTTTATGCTGTTATTTATTTGGGGGCATCTCAGCGCCTCAGTAATCTAAGTGGATTCTGAGACAGATCACTCAGTCACTCTGGATATTTGTTAGGTCTACAGGTCGTATTTATCCAAGACTCGGGAGGGCTGGTGCTCGCTCTGTTTCCCTGAAAATGCTGACATGGGATTTCTTGAACTGATGTCACGATCCTGTATGGTGCTGAGGCAAAGAAACGTTAGTCATGCTGTTAATCCAGCTGACTCGTCATTTCTCATAGAAACCATTAAGAGCACCAGATGACCTCCTGGATTACTGGACGTGATGCAAGACAGATGGTCTCATCAGCCCCTTTCATCTTCTCATTTCATCTCAAATCCTGCAGACTTAGAGAAGGATTTCCCCGCCATCGGGGTTCCTTTTTTAATTGTCAGACAACAAAGGAAAAACAATAACACTGATAAATCACCCCTACTTTGTTTTGATTTTGAACAATCCCCCTTTCAGTCTGCTCATTTGATTTATTCTGACCAACTTGCTTTTGCCTTCTTTCCTAGGAAGTGTGTAGAGAGCTCTGGTGCCTTAGCAAAAGCAACCGTTGTGTAACCAACAGCATTCCAGCTGCAGAGGGGACTCTATGCCAGACTGGCAGCATTGAAAAGGGGGTAAGTCTCCAAATGCTTCTCAAATGCTGAAAAGTTCATGAAAAATAACAACAAAAAGTGGTTTTTGATTGATCATGAGTCAGAATCAATCAAATCAATCAATCAAAGCTTTATTGTCATATGCACAGTAATGAAGCGACTGCCCTGCACAATGAAACTCTTACTTTGCAGTCCGTGCTGGATGTCAATACATTTGAGCGTAAGTTACGTAAATAGGCTCATTAACAGTAAAGATTCCTAAAAGACAAAATTATAGACTATATAGTAGTAAAGCGTTTACAGATTGACAATGCTCATGAATGTTCACTCAGAATGCTCATGATTTAGGAGCAGAGTTGCCAACTCAGCGACTTTGTCGCTGTTCCTAACGACTTTTTTTCCAAAAAGCGCCTAGCGACAAACCAAGCGACATTTCTCAGGACCCGTTGCTGCTTTCTGTAGAACTTTCTTGTAGATATTCCCTTCAGATTAGCAACAAAGAAACCATTTGCACTCTGAACCGTTCTTCTGGGAGTAAGGGAAGAGAACAATAATCTGCACATGTGCACGAGGACTGACCAATCATAAACGATTTTTGGCCGGGCCAAAGACAAAGGTACAGCTGCAGAGCTGTAGACCGCAGACTTACGTCTGCTGCTGCTGCAGGCTCACGCTTCTACTAGAGACAGTGCAGGAGTCAACCTGCGATCTCTGATTCTGCAGCTGTCAGACACTTTGGCTTTTCCTGCATTTGGCAAATAAAGTCAACGAGAGTTTCAACTACTGTCCCGTTTACACACGCAGCCCTGTGGCTCATCTGAATCTCCTTCAGTGACACAGGAATGGTTATACCATGAGACACCCGCTCCCTTTTGCTCGGTGCGCCGCTATTATCATGATCAGTATCAGAAATCAGAAAAAGCTTTATTGCCAGCGCTCCAGCGAACCAGAGCATAGGAACTTGACTCCGCAGCACAGCCTGGCCAAGGTTACACACACACATGTAGACAGAACAGATACAGGCAGACCACGAGAGCAGCCATAATGGCTTCTAATGATGGAGAGAAAACACAATTGAGAAACTATAAGCTGTAAAAAAAAACAGCTTTTTAGGAAAATGTCTGTGAGAATGAGGAGAGCAGGAGGTCTGAGTTATATCCTATAACAGAACTGTTTGGATCACCACACCATATCTGTCTTAACGTCACTTTATTGATACTTTTGGAATTTATTTTACATATCAAAGCAACGTGGGCCATTTTAATTATACTAATTAATAACTTTAAAACATAAAATAGTTTTTGTTATCTTCTTCCCTTTTAGTACTAAAAAGACCAACATGTTTTAAAAATCTTCAGTATATATATATACACTGAACAAAAATATAAACGCAACACTTTTGCTCCCATTTTTCATGAGATGGACTTAAATATCTAAAATTCATTCCAGATACACAATATCACCATTTCTCTCAAACGTTCACAAATCAGTCTAAATGTGTGATAGTGAGCACCTGTGCTTTGCTGAGATAATCCATCCCACATCATGAGTGGTGCACAGGTGTACCTTAGACTGCCCACAATAAAAGGCCACCCTGGAATGTGCAGTTTTTTGCTTTAATGGGGGTCTGGGGACTCAGAAACAGTCAGTATCTGGTGTGACCACCATTTGCCTCATGCAGTGCAACACATTTTCTTTGCATAGAGTTTATCAGATTGTAAATTGTGGCTGTGGAATGTTGGTCCACTACTCTTTTATTTATTTATTTATTTTTCCCCATGTCCTGTCTGGATGTGAAGCAAACAGGATTGATGTCTGAATGCTGGTAACAAGCCTTACAGGTTTACTCTCAGGTGGAGCATCAAAGTGTCTGCTTTTAATGTCACACCTGACACTTAAAACTTTATTGTTATTGTTTTTTGAATGCTTTTTAATTCCGATCAGACACGGAGACAGAGGTGAAAGAGAAAGGAAAAGACAAAAGGTGGGGAGAGAGGGGGGAAGGGGGGGTGGGGGGGTGTCCACAAAAGTAAACAATAATGAACAAGAGTCTGCTTCTAGACCTGCAGAAAGAGAGAAGAAAAAAACACAAAAAACAATAAAAAATAAATAAATAAATGGGACACAACAACAATACAACAAGATCCAGTTATCACTGCGTCAACTTGATGAAGAAATATATAATCAACATTGTTTAACTAAACAATCACACGATAGTAAATCACAGTGCATTAAGTGCCCACCATAGCCTTAAGACATGTGTTGAACAGGCCCAAGTCCATACTTATGAGAGCACCATGTGAGCACCTGTGTGTTTACACACGTTTGTTTATGTAAGGTTTCTCTATAGGAGCGTCCAATAGAGAGTGTGAGGGGCCACAGATCTGGCCCCTAAAGATGTGCAGGAGACAGAGGGAGCTCCAAGTCCCAGAGATCCAGGAGCTGCCCCAGAGCACAGGAACTCCATGGAGACTGCAACCAGAAAAGCCCCCGCCCCCCTCGAGAGGCGCAGAGGATCGCACCGGGGGGCCACAGCCAGCAGCCGGCAGAGTCCCGGGAGACACAGGCGGCAAGCCCACAGACTCGCCCACAGCCTCCCACCCCCTAGCCGGCCGAGCCCGGGACCCAATGACCTGGGACCCAGAGGCAACCACCCCCGCCAGGGACCCAGCAGAGCCCAGGGACCCAGACCCCACCAGGCAGCCACCGGGATTGGTCAGGCAGATGCCAAAAACCTTAAACTCCCTGACCCAGGAGCCACAAACACTCAGGCAGACCAAGGCACCGCATTCCACACTAGGTGTGGCAGGGAGAGGGGAGACGAAGATCTGTATCATCAAAAGAAGTCCCAGGAGAAGGGAGGAGTCAAAGGGCCCCACCTGACATATACAGTCATACACAAACACAGTCACACACTCCCTCCCTCACGCTCACACATGCACATACAACCAAAGACTTACAAAAATGCATGCCGGACACCCACTCATGTTCCCCATACACACTCTATTCACTCTGGTCCCGGTACTGCTGCACATGGAGTACAACCATTACCGGTTCCCAGAGTTCGACCCTTTCTGCTGGGGTGCTGATGAGCAGGCTCCCCCGCCCAACGCTGAGCACAGCAACCCACCACCCCAGACCCCAACCAGACGGCCGGATCTCCCTCCTAGCCTCCAGCCCTAGGAAGCCAAGCGACAACAGAGGTGTTCTAAGACCCCTAGTCTCCCTCTGCCTGCTCCAATATGGTATTAGTGAGTGTTGATGAGGTGTATTCCATGGCTGTGGTGAGCGGGCAGTGCGGGCATCGTCTGGCCTATGCCAGCTGATGCCACCACACCACCCCACTTGCACCCACAGCCCTCAGTGTCTGTGCAGTTTAAAATTGGAAGTGGGCACCGGCACTCTGGATGAGGCTGAAAGATCCCCCTGCCAAACGCTATTGGATGTGCTCACTCCCAAGGCCCTAAGTGTGTGTTTGCGTGGAATGTCGTTGGTGGAAGTGTTTAAGGTGCAAATAAAATTGAGGTGCAGGTTGCCACAGGAATGTGGAAATGGGGTCCATACCTGCACTCCCTGACTTGTCCACCCCCCAAGGTCCTATGTGCTTGTTTGCGTGTTGATGTGAGGGAGCAGGAGGAGAGAAATGTGTGGGGATGTGGAGGAATGGCTGGTTGGACTTAGCCCTCCAGGGAGCCAGCACTCCCACTGGCCCAATAGGCACCTCTGTTGTCAAATTGCCACCCAGAGCATGGAGACCCCAGCCCATCCTGCCAGGGCCCAAAGCAGCAGCATCACAGAGTCCGAGGGCACCAACCCAGCCCCACCCCAGCAGAATCTCTACGCCCATCCCTGCATTTTCACAACTTCCGGATTATAAAAGGACATCCAGGTAAGGTTGGGTCCTCCCCCTCCTGGACTTCCCCCTCCCCTGTGATGGGACAGCAGAGGAGCCAAGGTCTACTTGAGGCCCCTGAACCCGAGTCAGGCACAGCTGCATGTTCCTGTCTTCTCCCCGGCAGCATACATGTCAGGACCCGACCCCCAAGAACCCGCCCAGATCCCCCCACGGGGATGGCCACCCCCACACCCCGAGCTCCCAGGCCCCCACCCAGACCCGTCCAGGGGCAATGCAGCTGCCGGGCAGTGACCCATGGCCACCGCCAAGACCTCCAAGGGGCCCCACTCACAACCGCCAGTAGTCCACCCCCCGAGGCAACCCAAGCACTTCCAGAGGGGGCAACGGCCCCCCAGTCCCAGACACCCCCAGTGACCCCACCTCCAGGGAACGTCCAGATACTCCAAACTCAGACCCTCCACCCCCTCACCCATATCATCCCACAGGACAATATCAATGGTCCCCCATAATCGCTATGTGATGGAACTGATCAAAGGAGCCCAGAGAGATTGATTTGAAGTGGAAGCAGAGGCTATATCAAGTGTATTATGATCTAACAAAAGATTTCTATATTGGTTGATGCAAAGAGTATCTCTATTTTTCCAAATCAAGAGGATAGTTTTCTTAGCGATGCATATGGCACTCAGAACCACGTGAGCCAAAGATGTTTAAATCAGGACATCGTCCAGGTTTTCCAGTAAACAAAGAGAAGGGGCGGTTGGGATATGACATTTCAGACACTTTGACAGATCTTCACATACTCTACCCCAAAATTACTGGACAGGTGGACAGGACCACAGTGCATGAATGTAATTGTCAGGAACGTTGTTTGTGCAGTGTGTACAGGTGTCAGACGACACAAACCCCATCTTGAACATCCGATGACCTGTGTAGTGTACTCTGTGTAGAATTTTGTACTGAATTAATTGTAAATTGGAGTGTCTGATCATTTTAAAAGTTTTTAAACAAGTTTGGGACCAGAAGTTCTGGTCAAAGCTGACTGATAGATCCACCTCCCATTTTTCAATAGGGATTGCTATTCTATCGTCTATTTTGGTAGTTTGGGGGATTTGCGATTATAGAAGTCTAATACCGTTGGTGGTGTTTGTAATTCTATTTTATTGAG